ATCATGCTGGAAGGGCATAATATGGTGTTCTACAAGGATCAGTTTTGGGACCATTTCTGTTCAGTATCTTCATCAATGATTTAAATAATGGCATAGATAGTATCCTTATAATGTTTGCAGATTGTACCAAGCTGCAAAGGGTTGCAAGTGCTTTTGAAGATAGGATTATAATTCAAAATGATCCTGACAAACTAGAGAAATGGTATTATGAGATCAATAGGATGAAATTCAACAAGGACAAATACAAAGTACTCCACTTAGAAAGCTCCAATCAGTTTCACACAATCAAAATAGGAAATGACTGTCTAGGAAGGAATGCTGCAGAAAGGGATCTAGGATTCATAGTGGACCACAAGCTAAATATGAGTTAACAGCGTGATACTGGTGCAAAAGAAAGAAACATTATTCTGGGATGTATTAACAGGAGTGTTGTAAGCAAGATGTGAGACGTCATTCTTCCACTCCTTTATGTGTTGACCAGGCCTGAACTGAAGTACCATGTCCAGTTCTGGGTGCCACATTTCAGGAAAGATGTGGACAAATTGGTGAAGGTCCAGAGAAGAGCAACAAAAATGATTAAAGGTCTAGAAAACATGACCTATATAGGAAGCAAGAACTGGGTTTGTTTAGTGAGGAAAAGAGAAGACTGAGAGGGGACATAATAGCAGTTTTCAGGTACTTAAAAGGTTGTTACAAGGAGGAAGATAAAATATTATTATTCTTAACCTCTGATGATAGGAGAAGACGCAATGGGCTTAAATTGCAGCATGGTTGGTTTAGTCTGGACATTAGGAAAAACTTCCTAACTTCCTAGGATAGTTAAGCATTGGAATAAATTGCCTAGGAAGATTGTGGAATCTCCAACATTGGAGAGCAGGTTAGACAAACACGTGTCAGGGGGTAGTCTTGATAGTACTTGGGCCAGCCATGAAGGCAGGGGATTGGGCTTGATGATTTTTTTAGGTTCCTTCCAGTTCTATTATTCTCTGATTCTATGAATATATTTTGGTTATTGACAGTGTCAAATGGGGAAATACCGGTGATTCAAAAAAGCTAATTACAATTATAAAGAAGTCAGCAATGAATGTGAAAACAACTACATTTTTATGTTGTGCAGTACACCGAAAATTTTTTGTCATCATACAATTTATGTTCAGACGGGCAAAATTGTGTGCTAAAACCAACAAAGAGCTCTGTAATGTAATTTTTAACACCATATTGTTCAACAGAATTAATTTAATAGTGTTGGTTTTGAAAGAAACATTTGATGTCCCAGTTTGAACATTAATTTTTAAATTTGTGAGCATTGATGGCCCTCCATACAATTTCCATTTCCAGATGTAGTGCTCAATCCAAAAATTTGCCCATTTCTCTCCTAGGTACTATGGCTAAATATTCACAGCCATAAGTGGCTTGATGGCTTAGGGGTAAGTTTCAGTGCTGGAGACTGTGTCTAGACTACAAAGAAAGGTCAGAAAAAGATACGCAAGTTGCAGACCTCAATTTGTGTATCTTTTTCCGCTTTTCTTCCAAAAGAGGCTTTTCCAACATTTGGCCTGTCTACACTGGGACATCTTTCGGAACATCCCTCCTTCGTGCAACACGGTTTACAGGGATTCTGGAAAAATGCATCTGCTTTTCCAAAAATTTTTTTGGAAAATCAGACGCGTTCCTTGGACGTGGCAGTCTAGACTAACCCTGAGTGTACAAGCTATAAAATACCACATGATCTGACCCCTGGAATCTTACTTAGCATAAGCCTCCATCAGAAATGTAGGTTGAGCAATGCTTGGTTTGAGTTGATGGGGGAAATAGAATGATCTTTGAAGGTAATTTAAAACAAAACCCATTAGGAAAGTGAGAGTGATAAAATATGCTAATAAAAGACACTACAGATCATCTCGTTGATTAGAATGAATCAAGAATCATTGTCTTAAAAATACTTTTGACTCTGTGCCACCATGAAATCACACTGAATACTTAAGTCAGAGTAGCTAATTAAATCCTCTAAGCAAAGGCATTTAGTAGATAAGAATTTGTGTAGAACTGTGAAGAACAGCGTATCTGCATTTGTGCCTAATCCACAGTTCTGAACATCCAGACTTCAAGTTAAAGAGCTCAAAACTGAAATATCGCTAACTGAACTTTATCTCTTTCCTATGAACTATCATGCTTGTTGGCTTGCAAATCCATGAGCCTAGTTGCTTGTGAAAGAGAAAAGATAGTCCAGTCTTAAAGAGTCAAAGATGGTCGATATCAAATTTGTGTTCCAGTTCAGCAAGGTTCTTAAGCAAATGCCTCAGCTTAAATTAAAGGGTTTCGTCCCATTCGAGTCAAGAGACTTACTGAATCAAAGCTTTGCTGCCCATGTTTTGCTCTTAATGTATATTTAGAAACTCTTTTTATTTATTCTTTCTACTTTCAAACAATTTTGAAGGTCTTTTTTTATGGAAGGAAAATGCTCTGTATCCGTCAAAAACTGGCAGAACTTCCATTTTCTTCCTGTTTTTCAACCTTAGCTTTGCAGTCCCATTCCTTGTCCACCATTCTTTGGCTCTGAATAAATGAATGAAACTTCTTTTGGTGATTGTCCTCACCTGTCTCTAAAAGAAGACTGCTGTCATTAGCTACTAACATTTAGAAAATTTATTTACTAAACAAAATATATATTAAACTAGAATATATATGGAGTGTTTGTAGGAATTTTTCAACCCATTTTGTTTGTTAGAAATGCCTGCTACTGCCCCCATAACTGTAAGATGTTGTTCAGAGAGACCTGCCATTTTACTGATATGCCCCAGCAAAATGTTCAGTTGTATGATCTAGCTTTGGTGGTGGTGTGAAATCATGATCTCATTGACTCAATGGCAAAGTGTCCAATGGGGCCCATGATTTTTGCCCAGAAAATGCAGCTGTTCATATGAATGCAAGAATAGGCGTGATCTTGCGCCAAAGATATGCAAATAAGGCTAAGCATGGAATATCGCCGAGCCTCATTTGCATACCTAATGAGCTGCCATTTTTGCAGAAGAGGCTCTTGCGCTAGAAGGAGCTGTCTACACTGCCCCTTCTTGCGCAAGAAAAACCCTCTTGAGCAATGCCATTATTCCTGAAAATAATCGGCGTAGCGGCATTGCGCAAGAGTGTTTTTCTTGCGCAAGAAGGGGCAGTGTAGATAGCTCCTTCTAGCGCAAGAGCCTCTTCTGCAAAAATGGCAGCTCATTAGGTATGCAAATGAGGCTCGGCGATATTCCATGCTTAGCCTTATTTGCATATCTTTGGCGCAAGATCACGCCAGTGTAGACATAGCCCATATGTTTAGTGTAGTTGTAAAGTAGGTTCTGTTATCTTTGTTTGTAGGAGTGTATGTGCGGGAAGAGGGTTAATATGGAGCAAATTACCAAAGGCGATAACTCAAGTTTGGATGCCTTTCTAAACCATATGCTCTTCCTCAGCTAGAAGTTAATGAGCTTGATGATGAAAATGCTGGGTGAAATTCTTTGGTCTTCATTTTTCCAGACATTTAATTTGATGATCAATATGCTGACTTCTGGCCTTAATGTATTTTATTAAAAGGATTGCACATTTACAATGGTGCTGCAGCTCAGTATTTGAATTAAACTAAGGTACATCATTTTACAATTAAGATAGCACTTGTTTTGTTGTTAGTCAATCTTTTTCATTATATGTAAAACATGGAGATGTGGTTAGTAATTTCCCGTTTTTATTAGACACACTGTTTACAGTATTTTTTATTTCATATTGGTACTGCAGCAGCTTCTGGGTTGCAGCTAGGATTATAGTCCCATTGTGCTATACATATTATACAAACACATAGTAAGACATTCCTTACCCCCCAAGGAGCTGTTTTATATTATGGGAGCAAAAGAATTTGTCTTCTGTACTTGGGAAGAAGTGTAAGCCTTTATACGAAAAAACAATCTCAAATGAGAGACTTTCATATTATGTTTCATAATTATTTTTAAAAATTTGGGGTAGTAGTGAATATGATGCAGAATTGTCTTAATAATATTTCAGGGAAATACACCCCTCAGATGGAATTCACTAGTGGGCAGAAGATATGCATTATGCCGATACACCACTTAACACCCACTTAAGCCATATTTTGATGTTTTATTTGGGATTTAATGGAATATAAACCTTGTAGGAGGTGAATTTCATCCCAAAAGAAATGTGTTATAATCTCTCTCCAGGCAATATAAATTGATTTGCCTAGTTCACCCTCCTCAAACAAACCTTTCTAGTTTCTGTGCACAAGCAATATTTGACCAAGGTAGCCTTTTAGTTGAGAGAATATTAATAGGTAGAAGCATTTCATTAAATGTACAGAGAGCTCTAGTTCATTGGAAAAAACAACTTTATGTAGCTGTATCCAGTTCTTTAACTGCAGTATATTTCCTCCCAAGAGTACGTGCAAGCATTTAATTTCTGAATAAATGCACTCAGTGGAGAACTTCGATATCATCACAGCTGGTCAGGATTATACTTTTCAAAAAGAAAACTCATCTCTCTCTTGCAACATTTTAACAGCCTGGTATAGTCTCTGCAAAAACAATTTTACTTGTTTATATTCATTAAAAACAAACGACTCTATCTGTCTTTCAATTCCAAGACTGTTATTTATGGTTATCAGTTATCAGTCACAGCTTTTCCAGGAAACACTGGACTTTGCCTCGGCTTTTGAATATTTTCTCTTGTCTTCAGCAAGATTTCTCTGGGTAGCTTTAACTTCTGTATGATTGAAGTTGTCATTCACCTTTGATATTTTAGCCTCCTGGTGGTTAATGATTGGATGCGTGAAAATAAAGTGTGCGCGAATGAAAAATAACGGGTGCATGAATGAAAAAGGCTAAATAACACACACAACTCCCTCCCCCCTCAAAAAGAAAAGGTCAGTTTCTTTATGGAAAGTAACATCTGACTTCAGTAAGAAAATGAGGATTTTTCTGTTTGTCATGGTTTCATTTCTCCTGCTGCAGGCTGCCTTTTCCTCCAGGGGGCCTGTCTACACTGCCCCCTGCTGGCAGCAATAGCACTTTCCTCATCCAGGCCCTGCGAAGTAAGTAGGCCTTTTTAAAAAATCTATTTGTAGTTTAGTGAATAAAGCTCTGTGTGTGGTTTCCTTAAAGGACAGCCTGTCAGCAGTTACAAGTAGGAACCTGCCCTGGGATGGAGCTATAAAAGCAAAGGGGAAGCAGCTGCAGGGGCAGATACTAAGGGGAAAGGGCTTATCTTATCCCTTTGAGTTCAGTATCATGGGCCTTAACATAATTTGATTGAAGCCATTGTAAATCAGGAGTGCATCTAGCTCACCATTTCCACATACGTCCTGCTCCAGTTTTCATTAAAGACAATTGAAAGACAAACATTGACTTGCATGGGAGGTTCAGGCCCAAGGTGCCTGACAGAACAAGTTCATTTAATTATCTATAAATAATTCAAAGTGATTGAATCTACCATGCTCTACATGTCATTGAGAAAGTCTCTGGGGGACCAGCCCTTACATAGTGTTCACTGCATGGTCACGAGGGGGCCAAAACACTGCTCGATTGTAAGGGTTTGCAGGACTAAGCATGAGAATCAGTGTCTTTTCAATGCAGTCTGGATTTGACTTTTTTTCTTTTTGATCAAACTGATTAGTTTGCACTGCAGCATGCCTGCCTGCAGAAGGGGTTCACTATGGCCATTTGGGGGATGTCATGCAGATCTCAATGAACCTGATGTCTGCTAAGGGCCAGCTGATAGCCTGGAGCATTCTAAGCTGGTTATTTGTGAACCCCGGATTATGTTGCTTTCTTGTGCAATTATGAATTTTGCCAAATCCTGCCTCAGAGAACGCTTACCTGATTTTGCCCATTGTATTTCTCTATTGTTTTAAAGGGCATGGACCACCAAAGCACATTCTCTTTTTAAAATCTTTGCTGCTAAATTGCCTTTGTATTTTGATTTTTCTCAATGTTTTTGCATAGGGCTGACAATCCGGGTCCTGTCTGCGAGGCGTGGATGTATGGTTGCACTAAAATACTGCTGACTTCCTGTGAATCTCCTTGGGAATGTATTCTGGGCCCAATTCTCTGTTTGCAGTGCCAACAGTGCCATTGATTTCCATGGAATGCTCTGCTGTAGAAACATGGTTAGAGGGATGTCCAACATTACTGAGTACTTTTCTAAATTTCTGTGTGGACAATAGTGGTCTCCTCTACTCCAAATTAAATTTAGCCAGGCTGTGTAAAGTCAAATTTACCCTGTTGTTTGGCTTTTCTTGTAATGCAAATAATAACAAAAACTTAAGCCAATGCTTATTCCTTTAATTTGATTGTTCCTAGTATTTTCTGCAGGGTCTGCCTATTGTTGGTTCCAGTTCCCTCTGACCAGAGAGTCATCTCCCTTTTCCATATCTTGAGGGAGTTCAACATGCCATGTCTTTCGCAATAAGCCATCAGCGTTTGCTTAACAATTTTTAGTAGGGAATTTAACTCTTGCTGAAAAGGGTTGATCCACAGAAGATCCCTATATCCCCAAGGCAACCCTTTTTTGTGCAAAGAATGCCAACAAGGAAGTATGTGCCAGTCATCTTTGATGTGGGCAGCAGTGCTTTTTGATGGAAGCACTTAAAGGAAAACAGCTCAAAATCTGCTGTAACAAAGGTGTGTGCATATATAACTGAAAAGGGAAAAAACAGCAACTTAAGTCAAAAATCTGACCACAAAAATTATAAAGGCAACCACTAGGACAAGTAAAAATAGAGAGATTGTAAAAAATAACTTAGAAAGTCTGAACAAGGAAGAAGACGGCATGCCATTTGCTTTAGTTATTTCTCCAGCATTTAGTAAATATAAAGATGGAATGATTGTTTCCACAATGGCAAAAATGGACAAATATATTCAGAAATATATTAGCTGAGTTTGAAACTGAAAGTCCAAAATGACAAATTTTAGTTACACTACACAAATCAATAAATGACACTTAGCATACACTATATTAAAATAAAACTGCAGGAGAAGAGACTTGGCATTTTAACTGAGCACTTCTCTGCATAACAGAAAGCGGTGCATGAAACATATACCTTCAGGCAAGTAAGACAAGAACCAAGGGAAATGCTGACCAATTTTTATTCCAGGTTACCACATCTAGCACTATCATGTGAGTTTTACTTGGCTCTAAGACCAAGATGCAAACTGTGCAGTCTTATTCATCAACCCATCCATCGCTGAATCCACCTTAGGAATGCACTGTTTACTTCAGAAAATCTCTGTGGACTTGCAGAACTCCAATTCTTTGACATTAGATCCATTGGCATCCCTATCTGTTCCCTTCAGTTTTGGTCTCCTCGCTTTCTCTGTTCAGTCCCCCACTCCTTCTGCACTTAGGCCACATCGATACTTACAAGGGGGAGCATTTGCTCCCCCTTCGACCTCCTGCTGTGTGGACACTGCCAAGCTCGGGTTAAGGTAAACCAACTACAGCTATGTGTTCTATGTAGCTGGAGTTGCATACCTTAAGCTGACATTTCAGGTCTAGTGTAGACCTGACCTTAATGATTCGGAGGAAAATGGGAATCTCTGTCTGTCTCTCTGTCTCTCTGTCTCTGTCTCTGTCTCTGTCTCTCTGTCTCTCTCTCTCTCTCTCTCTCTTACCTGTCTGGAACTCTGCTCCGATCCTGAGACACTGCATCTTTAATTGTGATATAAATAAACACCTTCCTTTTCTCTTTCGTTTCTGATGGACTCTCTCTCAAACTTTTTCTGATAGTGTGTATTAAGGAGAATATAACAAAATATATCAGCGAATTCATATTCTGTAGACCCATTCATTGATTGAAGAGAAATGAATCACGAAGGACGTTCTCTCAGAGGCAAGCAGACAAGGACTTACATAAACAGGCATATGTAAGTTGGCATAGCAACTGCAGTATTTGTTTTTAATTATCGAGAATTAATAGGAAAAAGAGCTGTTAAGAGAAAAAGAAAACCAGAAATGATTCTCTGCCAGCCAAAGACTTGAGTAAGACATAGAGTGAATGACAACCAAATGCATTGTATTATCCTAAGTCTATAAAAATAAAACTCTATTGAGGATAGCAAGTTAGATTACCAAATAGAATCCTCAGCGCATGCCAGTTCCCAAACAGATTGCTGCTCTCTGTAAGAGAACATTTATGGAGTTGTGTGGTGTCTTGTGGGAGTAGGTCAGGGCACATACCCGAGTCTGGGGTTAATTGATTAGCAGAGCTCCAGCAATCTGCTCCACACTGTAAAGGCTTTTGCCCTAAGCTGATTTCCAGCTGTGCTGAGGGTTGGCATAATGGCCTTAAAGAGAGACATTATAATTTTCCTCATGCTTCACAAATCCATCAAAGACAAACAAAGATCACCTGCTATCACTCTGTGCTCATCAAAATGCTGTTAAATCACATTTCTTTAGGCTATATTGTTTGTAGTCTTATTACATGTAAGCAACGCCATGCATTTTTTTATTTTAAACAGTAATTATGCTAAGGAAGTTAGGTTTTCAAAGATTTATAATAGATTCCTTTGATTAGGAATCTCTTTACCAGCAACAATCTTTCTGGATCTTGAATGGCTTTGTGCATCTTATTTCCCCCTTAAAGGATTTGTTTGTTTTCCTTTCTGGTGTCTCTGAATGACTCTAGATGTCTTCTTATTTGTGGTTCTGCCTCTTCTCTATCAAACTGTTGTTATGCATCCAGAGTTCTTCCAGTAATAACTGACTCACATAGAAAAGAAGGGAGATTACCTTAACCCTTATGCTGGTTTCACTTTGTTTGTAACTAGATCTTTGCTTTTTCTCACAATCTGTGCTTATATTAACACCTTTTTAAAAGCTTTTCTTTTTTTAAATTAACCATATATTCTTCTTTATTTTGAAATCTTTTCTTTTTAGACTGCCACTGCTAAAAATCTTGTTTCTATCTTCACACCTAAATTTATGCATTCTACTTTCTTATGCTGGTAAAGCTCAAGAGCTCCCTTATTTTTTTTCTTTTCCAGTTCTGCTTTCAAGGCATAGCAGATTTGATAGTGTATACTATAGTCCATCATTTAAATCATGGAGATTTGTGCAGCTTCTGAGTCACTCTTTATTGTCTTCTTTTATAGCTGTTTTTAACCTGTCTCATGTTCTTGCTACTTAGCTGGATATCTCTCTTGTCCTTATTATTGATCTAGGTGATCAAAATAATGACCAGCGGGAGAGAGGGAATTGCCATTTTTTCTTCATTGAAATTTAATATTTACATTTCAGTGTTAAATGTGTTAATGAATGGTTTTATTTCCAAATGCACACATCTTTTCTCCAGCCAATATGATCTGACTTTCTCACCACCCAGCCAACATCAGGAACTGCTGTGAAATACCTTTAATGAATTTGTCTTTATTTTAACTTAGCGAAGTAGGGCTTGAATCCAAAACTATGGCTACATCTACACTGTACAGTTATTTCAGAATAAGCTATTTCGGAATAGTTATTTTTAAATAGCTTATTTCAAAATACAGTAGTACGTCTACACTGCAGGGAAGTCTCAAAATTAGTTCGAGGCAGGCTTCCCTAATGTAGATGTGCTACTCCGATTTAGAGCCCCAGGAGGCAGGGCTGGCTTTAGGAAGTGCGGGGCCCAATTTGAACAATTTTGACGGGGCCCACAGCAATTGTGGTTGAGCAAAAAAGAAAAAAAAACCACAACACAAAAAACCCCCCCGCCAGTACATACACACACACATCCTGCGAGGCAGGGCTGGCTTTAGGAAGTGCGGGGCCCAATTTGAACAATTTTGACGGGGCCCACAGCAATTGTGGTTGAGCAAAAAAGAAAAAAAAACCACAACACAAAAAAATCCCCCGCCAGTACATACACACACACATCCTGCGCTAAACTCACACCGCCTGTGGCACAGGCAGCCCGCA